ATGACCAAGATTTGTTATTGCACAACATCAGTTTCATCGAGTTAAACCTTCGTTAAGCATACCTGTCACCTGTTTCGTGCGATTCCACAGTGATGGGCGGCTGCACCGACGACGGCCTGAAACAACAATACAATGGCGATGGCAGGATCRCGCACGAGTAATGGAGAGCCTCTAGGGCAAGGATGGAGGTTGCCCGGTTGTCGARAGAGATCGCGCAGTGATGGATTGAGATGGAGAGTGATCACTCAGYKWTGGAGGGAGATCGTGCGGCGATGGAGAGAGAAATYGTGCAGCGCTGCGGTGGGATAACACTGGCCAGGGCTTCGATAGGGATGGCCAGCGCTGCGRTGGAGAGCGATGGCGCACCGGTGGAGAGCAATGGCGTGGCGATGGAACGCGTTACAATGCAGCGATAGCGATAGCGATGGCAGCGATGGAACAGCGATAGCGATTGCGCACCAGTGGAGAGCGATGGCGCAGCGATGGAACAACGATAGAGATGGCGCAACGATGGAACAGCGATAGCCATGGCGCAACGATGGAACAGCGATAGCGAAGGCAACGATAGCGATGGCAGCGATAGCGATGGCGCACCGATTGAGAGATGGCGCAACGATGGAACCAACATTGCGATGGCAGATATGGTACCAGCGTTGCGATGGCGCAACGATGGAACCAACGTTGCGATGGCAGATATGGTACCAGCGTTGCGATGGCGCAGCGATGGCCAACGCTGCGATGAGAGCGATGTCGATTGTCAGCGCTGCGATGGTCAGGCGAGCATGACGGCTGCGATGGGGGATATAGCTTTGCGTCGCGATGGCGATGAGCTAAGCGCATCGATAACGATGGTGTATGGCTAAGCGCATCGATATCGAACGCCGTTGACATTTGCAAAATGTCCGAATGAAAGCGACAYCGGAACTTATAGATTTCCGGTGTTTTTGACCTYGACGCATAACGAATCGCCGCGCCTCGGCGGGAAATAAACCGTCGACTGGCCTCGGCGCGCAACGAACCACCTCGGCGCACAAYGAATCGCCGCACCTTACACATTCTTGCGCCTGACCTCGTGCGTCGGATAATGTCGATCAACGGTCCAGATTAGAACTGCGAAAATGACATTGCCTACCCCTTGTTTTTGGGAACTGTCACATCATTGCAAGTCGGAGTTGACGGAGATTTTGGGGCCACTKGCATAACYGTGGCTCCGTTCATCTGCGCGGTTGAAAATTGTTGATCGACGACTGACAATTTTCGGTGCCCCTTACCGTTTATAGGCCCTGGCGTTTTATGGGCCCAGGGATGTGATACGCGAATCGATTCGGCCCCACCTTGATGGCGTTTTATATGCCCAGGGGTGCGATATGCGAATCGATTCGGCCCTACCTTGATCCCGACGCGAGGCCTGCTGCAACAAAGTATAAAAGGCGTTGCAGCCCTCGAGTTATCCCTTTTGTTGGCGTTCCACAGATCATCTCGCGCTATCGCTTCTGCGCGCGTTCCGATATTTTRTCTTCAGCCCCCACCACCTTCCGCCATAGCCCGCTCACTCTTCGCTCTTCGCTCCGTCCGCAGTTGCCACATTGTGTTCGATTCGCTCTTCGCTCCTCGGTCTTCGCTCTTCCTAGCTCGATATCCCTCCACCATAGCTGGTTCGGTGGTTGGTTGCTCGCTCAACGCACGACGAAGGTAAAATCATATAACTTGAGTTGTCCTATTCTATGTCCGACGTCCGAACACATTCCCAGATGCCCTGTCTGTACCTGCAGGATATAACGCCGCAGCCGCATTCTGTGGAAACCCGAATCAATTCCCGGTTTTGTTGTTTCGCCAGTGGACGTGCTCTGATCTCTTTTCTCCACCCTCCACCTCCGTCCGCCATAGCCGATCCGCGTTCCGCAGCTCAATTACCTTTCGCCATAGCCACGATAACGTTCGTATAAAGTTGCTCGATCCCCTTCGCAAGTTGCAGTCGTCGCTGCGCATGGCGAACCCCGAATCAATACCTAGTTACTACACTGAACACCGAATCAATTCCCGATTTTCGCTCACCTGTCCCTTGTGAGGTCGCCGACCTGATATCTACATATATATATATATATAAAGATATAGATACATATATGTATATATAGAGATATATTGCTACACTGAACACCGAATCAATTCCCGATTTTTGCTCACCTGTCCCTTGTGAGGTCGCCGACCTGATATATATATATATGTATAGATACATATATATAGAGAGAGATATATTGCGAGTCAGTTCGCAGTTTGCGACGTACAGTGTTCGAGGAGTGACAACTGCGCGGTTATTCGCAGTTTTTCCAAGGTTAGACACATATTTCATTAAAGGCAGTTCTTTGTTTCCACAAATGCGAGTTAGTTCGCACTTTTTTAGCAACAATGTTGGAGAGTTGACAACCCAACGCATGCGGCTTTCAGGTCTTCAGTTCCACAATTCCGAGTTAGTTCGTACTTTCCCCTAGTGTTGCGCATCGCCATTGTTGTCTAGACTACAGAACTGCGAGTTAGTTCTCACTTGTCGAAACCCTTCGCAATTGTCGATAAACCAGGACTTCAGTTCCACAATTCGGAGTCAGTTCGTACTTTGCCGTTGTACTTCGGGTTGCAATTGTC